CTTCCCCGGCTGCGTTTAAGTGCTGTATTTGCATGGGAGCACAGCTACTGGTTGGACAAATTGTACTGATAGCACAGGCTCTGGTCAGAGCTTTTGAAGCATTTTGTTTGTGGGTGTTTTGTGGTGGTCTGTCTGATCAGGGCTGAGATGTGTGTTAAATCTGTGGGGTCTCAGCTGTTACAAAGGCAGCAACCCCCTGCCCTCAGATGAATTAAGTCACCGTAGCAGTTACCAGAGAATGGGCCAGGGCCAGGCAGAGGAGTTGGGTTTACTCTGGAGATAGCCTGGCGAGGGGGTTTGTATTGCTCTCAGTGTGTACACACAAAATGACAGGCAAGGTGGTTAGCAGTAACTGCATCCTTCCCACTTGTGCTGCCTGGGTGCCCCTACCTCCATCCTGCCTGCGCGTTTGCTGCTCGGCTGCGTGCCGCCCTGCAGGAATCCCCTGCTGAAACGTGCGTCAGGCCCAGCAACAACTTGAAGCACAGGGCCTTGCTCCATCCAGAGCTGAAAACCTCACTGGGTACATTCAGTAATGCAGCTGAAGCCGTGTGCTTGATAGCTGTATGGTCATGCTTTTAATTACCATTAAAATAATTGGCACTGTGGCTACCAAGGGGATGTGAGAAGATCAGAGGCTCAAGGCTGTTTCTCCCGGTGCCTCAGGGGCACGAGCAGCTTTCAGTGTCTGTATAATTAAAAGCTACAATCTTTCATGTGCACAATAAAGAGGTTTGGGAGGTGGGGAGACTTCAGCCCTTCTGCATTTTATTTATTAAACATAATCAATGACCAGTCCCTCTTCTTCACAAAGGTTTTTAGGAAACACTGGTGTTTGACAGCCATGCTCTAGTATCTTAAGATATACAAGTGCTGTTCAGACTTCTTACGTTAAAAACCTTGAACGGGCTTGTTACCTGGGATTGGTGTGGGAAGGGAAGTGCAGTTGTTGTGCAGGAGAGCTCTGTTCAGGACATGTTTTTAAACCCCTCCCTCTGCTTCCCCCTTTTCTCAGAGGCCACTTTCACTGGCAAGTCCATCCCCACCTGTCAGCTCAGTCAGATTTCTGGTAGTGATCTCATTTTTCCTTCCTTCATCCCCATCCTGCTCATGCCACTGGTGCCTCCCTCTGCCCAGCGCTGCTTCCCCAGCCCGCACCCTTGGTGCACTCTGCTGGGTCCTCCTGGGCCGGGCTTGCTTCCCCGCTCCTCCCACCCGCCGCCCTGTCTCATGCTTCACACTTCTGTTGGCTGCGAGCTGCTGGTCATCTGGGGATACGGGTCATCTCTGCTCTGGTCCTCTGGAGTGAATAACAAATCCCCCAGGAAAAATGATCTTTTTTTTTTTTTTTTTTTAAAAGAGCTTTGAAACTCCCGGTGTCAGGAGTAACAGATCAGAGGTGGTGGTTGCATTCTCTGTAGAGCCACACTGAACCACTGAGCAGGGAACCCCTCGGTATATATATGCTACTAGTGCGTTGTAAATGATGATGTAAAATCCATTGGGTTGTGTGGAAGATTGAAGTCTTCAGTGCTGAAGGTTTGGTGGAAAAGGCTCTTCCTGGTCCTTCGGGGGGGGGGGGGGGGACACACAGGATGGACAGATGGACGTGTGCCTGTCATCTGCCCAGGAACGTCTGCGTAAGAGAGCTTCCTGGCTCCTGTCCTGGACTCCAGTGGTCAGGCAAACATTCCCACAGCCTTTTCCAGTAAGAAATCGGCTGATCCATTCACATTTGCATGCCTGTTTTCCTGTCTTTCAGCTGCGGGAGCTGGTCAGCATGTGCATATACCCAGATCCAGATCAAAGACCTGACATTAGTTACGTGCACCAAATAGCAAAACAAATGCATGTTTGGACCTCCAGCACATGAACCATCTGCAAACACTCTCAAGAAGCCAGCACAGCTTAGTCTTACTTGAATTTTTTTTCTCAGATGAAACCGACTGGTGCCTAGTCACACAAGTGAGAAGGTTGAGCACTCGTAGCAAGATGCTCCATTATTTCTGCAGGTTATTTGACAAGGACTCTTACAAGGTGGTCATGCTTTAAAGTGAAGATTGTGAGGTATTGCAAGTGATTTTTTTCTTTTTTTTTTTAAGGCAAATAACATGTTACAGATGTAGATCATTTAAGGGTCCTTTCTTAAAACTGTTGTGTGTAATCTAGGATAGATGATATTAACGAGGGTGTCTGAACATTTGACACCCCCCCTCTATCTTAACTGTAATGTGAAATATTGAAATAATTCCTTCAGTGAAATCACTTTATACTAATGTAAGAATTACAGTAGATTTTGTGTAATTTGTATAACTGCTACTTTGCCTCTTCTGCAAATGGTTAATAGCAAATTCAGTTTTTACTTCGTATATTTTAAAGCAGCCATTTATGTGTTTTTATTAATTCCCTCCTCTTCAGACTTAGGAACTGGGAAGGCTTGGGGGGGTGGGAAACACATTTGTTTCAAGATTTCTTCTTTTTAATTGAAAATTTAGAGCGAGTATTTTGCTGATGCATTTATCTGTTAACTTGGCTACAGCCAATGAGATGAGTTAAGCATGTACCTGGGGAAAAAAGAAAAACATGCCAAACCAACCCAAAACAAGCGTTGCTTCTGCAAATAATTTCTCTTTAAACTTATTTTCCCATTTGGCATGATTCTTTATAGACTACAGGTTCTTGTTAAAAAACAGTGTTTATCTAAGCCAACTAGATTTTGGTGAAGATACTATTACGAGTTCAGTAGTACGTTAGGTACTATAGGTAAAACCTAAGCAAAGCAGTGTTTTAAACACGTTGAAAATTTTTAAAAAAGTAGTAAAATGCTATGTGTATCTAATTCTACATAAGGATCAGCCCCTGTCTATTTAACTGTGAAAGCTAATTTACAGAATGTGAATTTTTATAAAATCTCAACCTGATTTGAAGGAGTCATCTTCTTTAACTACATGAAAATTTTCAACCAACTAAATTCATTCATTGAATCAATGATTTGTTTCATTACTGTCGATGAAAAATATTCACTGCTTTAGGAACAAACGTGGATTCACGTTCAAGTGTTTCCATTTCATCTGCCTGTTCAGAGGAACAGGGCTGCACTTAACGTTCTGGAGGACTACAGCGGGGGAAAGAAATACGCCTTTACTGTTACAGCGCTGCTTCCGTGTGTGACGGTGGCCAATGCCAAAATGTAGAGTTGTGTGTGTGACAGTTCAAATGCAGCCTGTGCCTGTTTTTTTTTCCTTAAGAAAGAGAAGCATACAATCCTTAATTTTTTGGAAATAAGATTAGGGTTAGAGTGTTACATACATATATATATATGCTTTTAGTGGATTTTTTTTAACCTAATTTGCTCTACTTAAAGGAAAACTGCAGTGCCATCTTCAACTACTTCGTGTCAAATTTCAAAATATTTATATAGGGTAGCAAAGAAAAGCTATTAATTGCTGTGAATAATGTTGGTATCATTAATGCAAGGTGCCATTTTATTGAGTCTTCTCAGCAGAAAGTTGAGCCTGCTGCTCTCACGAGAGACTCAGGAAATTCAAATCAGCATGAGAATGTAGGGGAGGCACCACACTGCTTCCAACATTCCCATACGAACTTGTTTAATTTATACCCAGCTTCTTTAGCAATTCTTAAACCTAAGACTGAAGACTGTCACTCTCACGCTGCAGACTTCCTTTAAGCCATGGTGGCAGCTACACATTCAGAGGGATGGTTGTGCTGCGCCTCTCTTGGTGTAACACAGAAAACGATCTTTGGCTTCCAGGGAAGCTCAGCTTAAATTTGAGTATCTTGAGAAGTCTGGTCACTTTCTTGCTACATAAAATTCATTAGTGCTTATAAGTAAATGTATTTTAAAAGGTAATTTTTTGCAATTGTGCATTTTTAGATAAATAAAAAAAGGATTTACAAAATAAATACCTTTGTTTAAAAAAAAAAGTCTAGTATTGAGGAAAAAGTAAAAAAAACAAAACCCAAAAACACTGAAATCAGGCCTAAATGTGTGTGAAACTGTTCCTTACAGCTATCAGACACAGACGAATGGACTGCATCAGTTGTCCTGATGGAAAACTATGCGTGGGCGTCTTTACCCTCTCAATTGTGGCACAGCTAAAGCTGGGTTTTGTGGATGTTGTTGCAGGATGCTAAGACTAGGGCCTGGTACCAGTTAACCTTTTGAAGCTGCCTGTGGATGATACACCTTCCCTTTTGACTAAAGGAGAAAATACTGCTGCAGGTAGATTTGCAGCTAGCTTTTCTTTTCAAATAAGGATTATGTGGTACTATATGAAAACAGTTTGAAATCAGTTTATCTCAAATAGTACAAGCTCAGGATTTTAGGACAAAAAAGGTTCAAGTGGAAGCTTGTAGAAAAATTCAGGCAAGTAACAAGACAATTAGACTTCAAATTATGCTGTTTTCAGTCATGTAACTTAGAAATGAAAATGTGTGACCAATGTGGAGGTTGGATCTACTCTCTATCCTGTCCCTATCTACAAAAAAAACAGGGAAGAATAAATATTAACATGTCATCATAACAGTTATTCCCCTGCAGTAACATAAGAAGCAGTCTTGCTGTAGGTCAGGGGGAGCAGTTCAGAACCACCAGTGCTCACTACTTTCATACCATTTCTTGAGCTGGTATGTATCCATCAAGAAAAGAACATTATATATGTTAAATGAAAACCTGTCAAATTTAGCTTACACAGAATCATTTTACCCTTCCTAGAGTGAAGTAACAAAACAGCTGTTGTACTTGGTGGTTTTTCTGCCCCACTGACAGTATGATGCTCGTTACCCACTCCAGGAGCCTGGCTCTCTTTCACAGAGATAATACAGATCCGTTAGGGTGAAGTCTAACTTTACATTCCCAGCCCACAACACTCAGAAGAGCAGGTAAGATGCTGCAGTTCTGTTCTGCATGAGCCTCACATTCTCAACAGTGTAAGAAGGGCAAAGCAGCAGCAGCAATCAGCACCACATAAAAACACGAGTTGGGAGAATGGTGAGAACCCTCTTTATTCTGTATCAGCTGTGCATTTCTCTCGACGCTGCAAGGCTTCTAAACATAACGAGTGCTGGTCTCCAGTGACCCAGAACAATAAACACATGATGGTTCAGGACGTGTCCATAGTTTGTACAGTTTCATCCACCACCTCAATTTCCAGGAGTGCTACGTTTTCTGCGAGAACAGCAGTAGTTCCTTTTTCACACTTGTATCTACCATGCCTGTTAAAGAAATAGGTGAAAATTAAGCTGGAAGCTAGTACTACATAGGAAAACTCTCATTTAAAATTTTAGAGCTAATCAGCTTTCTCTGGAAGTTTCCTGTAAAAGTCCAACATAAGTAAAGGGACTCTGCAAAATCTAAACTGATTGCAATAACTGATAAAGTTTCAGATAAACTAGCATTTTTAGGAAACACAGTCTTAAAAAAAATAAACTACTAAGTAACTGGGAAGGCTATTTTATAGAAATAAGTAGGATCTCATTACAGCGTAGGACATTCTTGCTGTGAACCCTCACTCAAAGAACAAGCAATTTATTTATTTTTTTTGCAACTCTAGAATAATTTTACCAGTGTATTAGCTTTGGGTTAGCTAACATTTAACACAGACTGCCTGTAGTCAAGCCATGCTTCTGAAATCTTAACTGCATCTGACTAAAGGAGCCATCACCCTTTTCACCCCTCTACACAGTGGAATCCAAAATCTCACTTAAAAATGTGTAATAAAACCTCTCTCCTAGCTGACCACCTATAGACGTTTCTGCTCAGAATGAAGTGTCATGCTTAGGAAGTTGTACAGTAAGAAATCCAAAAGACCTTCAACTGGAGCAGTGCAATTCTTTGTGGTTTTGGCCATAGCATCTGCCTTAGAAAGAAGGGCAAAAGCAATCTCTAAACTCTACCATTTTGGCAGTGGATTGAAGAGTTGTACAACTTGTTACACATACATAACATAGAAGTACATACTGCAAAATCCTTTAGCTGCCTTGGGGGCTGTGATTTCACTGATTAGGCAATGTAGTTCACTGAGCAACCGAGTGTTTAAAGTAAAATTTGCCAGCTCCTCTAACACTCAAATTTTGCTCACTTTAGAATTTCATCACCTCTGTATCCTCAACATTATCAGTATTACAGGACCACATGATACATGCTTAAATATAACCTTGTTCCCAAGAGGTCCATAGTTGAATGTTTTGACACAAAATCTAAGAGATTCAGAGTTACTGTCTTAAGGAAAGAAGCAACAGAATAATGTCACCTTTGTGTAGGGTTTACAATACAGCCTCCCATGGTGTGCAGACTTCCCGTGTGCTTTAAGGAAGTGAGCACTGAGAACTGTAAAATGGGGGGCAGCTGTACAAAAATCTGTCTTTTTGATGTGGCTTGCCAAATGGAAGAGCTAGGAAAAATAAGAATAGTTTCTACATAGTGGAAATGGTTAAGAGAAGACTGTTCAATTAGGAAAGCATGAATGCTTACAAGCATTTTTTAGTTTATTCATACATGAAATGGGACTCAAGTTTAGTCCAACTAAAAAAAAAATCTTGTGACTGCTGTACTTAGCTATTAACTGTAAACTGTCCTTTCAACACATCACAGTATATTTCTGGATGATGTTGAGGAAACCTTAGTGATCAAAACAATGTCCATGTTGTCTTAAAAATCTTGCACAGGGCATGTTTTCTAGCCACTGGCTAGAAGGGGCCTCTAGAAATAGAATAAATGACAACATAGTCACAGGCCAGAGTTGTGGAGTTTTCTCTTGGTTTTTGGTTTTGCCCCTGCAGTGAGTTCGTATATAGTGGCTAACGACAGGCTGTGCTGCCCCATATTGCTTTTTCAAACCCCCACACTAAGATTAGCAGAACTGCAGCGGGTACAGTGATGCCGCTAGTCTTTCAGCAAGAACATAGCAGAACAAAACTGTGTTGGTACCTGATAGCAAAAGAAACCCAAGTATCTATCTGCTCAGTCACAAATGCAAAACTTCGTTACTTTCTCAAACTGCCTGAAACTCAAGAGCAGCCTCTTGGCCTGGTAAAGTGGTGGCAGGTAAGAAATTAATGGGTTTCCTTCACAGATCTGTACGTATCACTAGCAGCCTCTATCCAGCTGCAGGTACAGCCACTAGTTTTGTTTTCTTGTTTAGCTAGAACTCAATATACAGATCTAGAGATTACTCTGACAAAATTTAGTATTGTGGGAAGAGTGTGGATAACACAGCTTCAGGAATACTAACCTGTCCCCCTTCCTGTTGGCCACATCATACGGACGGAGAAAATCCAACTTGTTCTTGCTTATAACACAGACATCTATGTTACTGCCGGAGCCCAGATCATTGTATATGCCAGCTGCAATGGCATCTCTCACAAGCTGTTTGGCTTCCTCTTCCTGGAAAAGTGAAAAAAGCTGTCACTGCACAAGTGTTGGCATTTCACAGAAATGTTTGTCCATGTGATGGTGGAAGGTGTGAACTCTCAGAACTATAAATGAGATACCAGCGCCTTTTTACTCATTTAAGTACCACAGAGCATTAACAACAGTCTGCTGAACAGCGGGACTATCTACAGGGACAACCTTTTATCCTGTTCAGGATCCACCACTCCCCAGGACAGATCAGACTTAGTAAAGACGGTCAAGGAAGCAAAATTAAGATTTCTGTCTTAATGAATGGATAAAATAAATTTTACAATTTTTATCTTCCAGGCTTTTGTGCACATGTACATTACAAGTTCCCTGTAGAGCCCTCTTGTGTAACAGTTGCATACAAATTGAAGATTCACACTAGTTTAGTTACAAGACTTCCCTAGGTAGGGACTATTTCATCATCCTCTGTAGTACCAAAATAATTTCTATGATTTTGTAACATAACTTGGTTTGCAAAATTTATGCGGCTCATCTTAATAGTGACTGTGCTGCAAAGCAGCCTAGCTCTGTACTGAATTGTAGCTGGCTAATATTTTTAATTCCAGTCCTGAACACAAGAGAAGAGAATTTAAAGAAACATGCTGAACATACCACTGAACATACCAGTCAAACTAGGTACCTCTGTCAAAATACAGCAATTTGTAGTTAAGTTCTTGCCATTTAAGTGAAAAAATGGAAAGTTTGTTATACTTTTCTGCTGTACACTTCAGAAATTCCATAGGTAACTAATACAAAAAATGTATTTAATATAGTTCATTTAATGCATACTGTATTTATATATTTCAAAAACATGTATTTCTAAATTACTTTGTACAACTAGTAAAATCATATTTGCAACAAAACTAGAATAGAAAACTAGAACAGGAAATAAAGCTCACCATTCTTATTGCTCCCGAAACCAGGCACTAATCCTGCAAAAGTTCTAATATTTGCTTTCCTACGGGTTTTGTATCTCTGCTTTCTTTTAAAAGGGCAAACACACAGCTGCTGAAATACACATCCTGCACGTAACTGTGAGAAACTTACTATTTAGAAGCTGTCCAAATAGCCTGAAACAGAGTGCAATAGGGTCTGCATTACACACACACAAGTAACATTCAGGTGAGCGTCTCTTACAAGGAAACACTTCAAATTCATCAAACTCTCCATTAAAATATTACAACAGATCTGTAATCATCTTAATTCCCCCCCCTCTAAAATTTGTGAATGGTATTGATGTGAAGGTGTCAGAAATACAAGTTTCCACATGCCTGACAGCCTTTACTAGAAAAGAGGAGGTTATTACAGCTGCACTGGCTCCCTCTACAGATCCCAGGCAGGGCTTATTTTTATTTCAAAGGCAGCTTATTGAAGAGTCACAGATTAGATCCAGTGCTGTTAGAAATAATCTGATACGGCCAGTAAATCCTTAGTTTTGCGCTGTAACTGAAGATGGTGAGGCATGAAGAAACGTTGCAAAACCAGCTTTCTTGATGTATCATTTTAAGTGTTGTAAAAACCAGGTACCTACCTGTGCCTGTCCTTATGACAAAAGACACACTACCGCTGCTTGACAAAGCCCTACAGTCCAGTGTGGGGGTCAAGTCCCCTGTCCTACACCTCTTCCCCTGGCACAGAGACAAAACCAGCGAGGATGTCCCCTGCACCCTCAGCTCCACTGCAGCCTGTACAGAGTAGGTGCTAGTGCTCCAGTCATCTGGCAAAAGTGTCAGAATGCACAGAAAACATTGCATCCATGTGTATGTGTACACATACACACACTTTAATGTTTTAAGCAGCCTCTTAAGTACATACCAGAGCACATAAGACCCCTTAATTTTTCTCAAAAGTATATAAGGAACATGAAAACTAACTAGAGCGTGCCTGTTCCAGTAAAGAAAGAACGAGACTGAAACATCTGTGACCAGAGAAATTTGGACTCTGTTTTTATCCTCAAGTCATTCATGGCAGTTGCTGCTCAGCTACCCCAGCATGATCGTAACTGAATGCTACGTTTACCATGATCACTCATCACTGCTTTGCTGATAATTTCACACCTTTGAGTAATCTTCTGCCACTAGACATAATGAACAGAAGAGCAAATATTCAATGCTGATTTGATAAATGCAGCTTTTTTAAGTTTGCTTCATTTTGAAGGGCTGTGTCTCTGCCAGTATCCTGCCACATGAAAATAACGATGCTAAGGTCCACAGCCTGCTCCTACAACGTCTCTGATTCAGACAGCAGCTGCACAAGCCCCAGTGTACAAGTGCAGCTGAAGAGGAGCCTAAAATTAGCTCAGCTACAATCACGTCTGCTCCCAGTGCATACTCTGCATTCTCCGATGGCCCTCTATAAGAGAACTTGTTAATAACAGTATGCCTGTTCTAACAGCTTAATTAAGGTACTGACCAGGAGGGGGGCATTTTTTCAGTAAACTACACAAACAGCGTAAGTTCTTACTTCGCTCCCAGTTTTATTAGCGTTACTCTTAAAAAAACCCCAGAAACACAACAAACTGAAAAAACCACACCCAAAAACCCACCTTGAATTACACTTTCTACCAAGCTGACTAGAATAAAACAGCCATGCTGTAAAAAATTCCTTCAGTGGTTTTGGTAGTAAAACTCCAATAAGCAAGTATTTCCTCATTCAACTGATAGAAGACTACTTTCACTGATTTGTTGTATGCTAAGGGTATTAGAGTACTATAGTGAAAGTAAACATACTAAAATAAAATATGTGTAAATGTGTTTTAAAAATTAAACAGTAGCAAAACCAGAGTAATTTTAAGCTATTATGTATGTAAGCTGTTAGTGTAAGAAAAAGACCACAGCTTAGGAAGACTAAAGCAGACTGGTGGGCGTTTGTTCCAATCTCCCTTTTAATACTTTTTTTAGACAACAGTGTAAAGCTTGCAGAGTCACCTCACTCCTTTAATTGAAATTTTAATTTTTTTTACTTTAAGAAGTACTCTATCAACCTACTGTTATCAAAATAGTTCTAAAAATATCCAGTACAGTCAGTAGAGCTCAGTTGTAACTGCACTAAGGCATCCACTACACTGAGAAAGTCTAAAATGTAATCTCAGCTCTTTCATCCGATATAGTGTAGCCTAGTTCATGAACCTGGAATAATTTTAATTTTAGTAAACCCTGCTTCAGTGCTGTTTAATCCTCCTCTTTTCATAATTTAGAAAGATGACCAGAATAGCCATGAGGGAAAAAAAAAGCCACCCCACAACATTCCTCGATAGAGATCCTGCACACGAAGTTCTAGCAAGGACTGCTATTTTACAATCAGAAAATAGGGGGTTATCATGAAAAGTGCTGACACAGTCTTAAATACAGGGGCATGAATGAGTCACTGCAATAATTAATCTTAAAAAACCCTAAAAGTTCAGAGTATATAAAAGGAGCACTTCCTACTTTATGGTTGCAAAGACCAAGCTAACTGGGAATATCATTCTCTTGGGTCCACACTGCTTCTTAAATGAGATTACAGCAAGAGTGATGTACTGTAATACAAGTCAGTTGTGACAAGCAGCACTTTATAGAGCTATCTGTTTGTCTCCATCACCACATCACACAATGTGTCCCAGGACTCCAATGTGCAACTCCATTTACCACTACATGACAAATGGGCAGCGCTTGTAAAAGGCGCAAAGAGGTCCAGATCAGCCGTGTAATGGTCACCACAGATGCACCGTAGTGCTTGAGGGGGGAAAAAACAGACCCCCAAGTTCATTAAAGTGACCAGTAATGGATCTTTCAAAATGTGTCTTAGGAATAGTACAGTAAAGGCTAAAATAAATAACTCAGCATGGAAGGCTAATCTGAAATGGTGTTTGATAAATTATTTATAACACAGACAATTGTCTGCATTTAATATTGGAGCTACTAGTAGCATCTTTAAAAGATGATTTATGTGTGGTAATGCCATTAAGCTTTATATGGGCCCACTGCTAGCTATAAAGTCTGCTGAGATTTAGAGAATGAGTTTTAAACTGTCACTGCAACATCATAGTAGATAGAGACTGTATTAAATCTTCACTTTAAACCTGTTATCTAGAGAGTTGCATTTTGTAGACACTCAAGAACTGATAGATTACCTCTCTACAGCTGCTATGGTGTAAGTCCCAAACAGCACCAATAAGGAACTTTTACACATTATTCTTGTATATGACTTGAATCAAGTTTCTCTTCTCACTTAAGCAATTTCCAGATTTCAAAGGCTACTGAAGAAGAGACTTTCCTACAGAAGATGGGGATATTTCTACATCATATCAATACTACCTTTACCAATAGCTTTTAAACAAGTTTATCATTATGCCTCCAGCAGTAAAGGGAGCATTTGGAACAGCTTTGTGAGTATTATTTCCTCAACATTTTTTAACTTGCTTGTGAAATTACACAGGAGAGGTCTTTTCCAGATTTAAAAACTGTAGAAGGGATTTTTTTTTTTTTTTTTTTAATTCTTACCAAAGTGAAATGAGTACCTTCTGCAGGTCACCGGTACCCTGTTACATATACGCTATTTAGTGGCATTCTCCAATAATAATTCTTACCAAGAATTTGAAATATAGTACACACTGAATATTAGTATAGGATGAATATGGTACTGTGTAACAATTTTTGTAAAAATAAAAAAAATTCAAGTATTTATCACAACTGTGTTTTATGACAGAATGAAATTTGTTCAAGTTACATAATGTAAAAAGTCAATCCTAAAGTGAGAATCCACAAGATTCATGTGGGAAGAGAAGGGGGGGGGATCAGAAGCTTCAGGAAGGACAATGGTAATAAAAAAAAAGTCTATAAAGGAGTGTTGGGAATTTGGGGCTAGGAAAGTGATAGCTCTTGAAGGACATAAGCACCTACAGAAGCATAATTAGACTTTGGAAGAGTAATCAGCAGACTACAACATGTGAGAGGATGTGTAAGTCTGCCTGTTGGGAGAAGTTGTGGTAGAGATCAATATGTAAC